GCAAGGAAGCGACGAGATTCAATTCGCTGCGAATTGTCGTGGCTTCTACTAGCTAGCTAGCCAGCTAGCTACAGGCAGGTAGACCGCATTCAGTCCACTGGCTAATTCCTGCGGATTGGGCACAATGGCAACCCCAGAAGATCTACAAGGAGGTCCAAGGGTCTTCCTCCATCTAGTCCAACTGCCACTCCAAGAGCAACAGCATCATTGGCAAGCCCTTCATTTGCAAGCCCAGGTGGGAGATCGGTCAAGAGCACAACAAGCACTGGCAGCAGGCCCGGTCTTCCCTCACTTTTGTTGAAGCAGCTTGCAACAGATATTGAATCTGAGCTTGAGGGGGGCATTAAGGCATTGCAGCAGGGACCAGACAAATCTCAACTGCTTGGTACTCTACTCGACAAACGACTACCAATAGACGAAGGTTCCCTTTACGGACACAGAGGAGATCCGGTTCGAAAGCAATCAGCCTATACGTTGGTCGTTGGAAGAAGTTATGCGAAGCTGAGTATCTCAAGAAAGTGTTGAATAGGTACCAAGTTCCTTGTTCTGCAAACCTCAAGAAAGAGCCGGCAGCCAGCAAGCAGAAGAAGCAGCCATCCAAAAAGCAACACGCAGTGGATTTTGAATCCTACCGTGATCACCCATCTCTGTCGTCCTCGTCCTCATCGACATCTCAGTCGGAAGAGGCCCCAACTCCTTTTGCAATAAAGGAAATTACCACCAAGCCCAAGAAGCAATCCACAGAGAAGAAAGCTTCAAAACCCAAGCCAAAAGGGATATCTGATTTTTATGCGTGTACATCCGGTGGATGCCCAGGGAGATGGTGGGAAGAGGAAAGCATTTCCATTTCAAGCTCGGGTCTACAATGCCAGAACTGTTGTTGTTACAGCTCCGGGGTTGGATTATTCTAATTCGGGATATGACAATCCGGAGATCAAGGAAATGCTCGAAACGGTTGACGAAGGAGGTGTACCCATAAATGATGGAGTCGTTTGGGAGGCTATTGAGAATGCCACGGTTCAGTTCAAAGAAGAGGTCATCAAGAATGAGAAGAACACGAAGGTTTACCATCTCGAATTCCCTACTAGAGACGTCGAGCTTTCGGCGGATGTGCTGGAAATCAACTCGAATAAGGAAGACGGGCTTATGACTGTGGGGACTCTCCCGGTACAAACGGATTTGGACATCGAGAACGAGCTTGATGAGGACGGCCAATTACCTCAAATTTCAATGGAGAACTCGGATGGAATGACAGTGGACGTGTCGGTTTGGTCTGTTCATTCTTCGCCTCATCTTGTTTGGCGGGTTGCCGACAAGGCATTGGATAAGCGAGCGCATGGGCCAATGGATTCTGACGAGGAAGAGGAACCAATGACGGATGTTGCTGCTTCCATGCAGAAAATGAAAATTGTTGGCAAGAAAAAGAGGGCTGGCAGGAAACGAGGTTGAGTGCTGGTGTTATTCTGTCCGCCTTGCCAAGCTGTCTGTGTAGTCTCTAACAACAATAGTTGATGGTTTTTGTTGATTGCGTTTTTGTGTGTTTGTTGTTCCTACTAGGAGGCACCGTGCCAACAAAACCAGTAGCACCGCCCACCCCCGCGCCATCTGTTGATCCATCGGGAACTTCGTCTAACAGCAAGAAGAAGCAGCCAACAACTAAGACGAAGCAGCTTGCCAAGAAGCCGACCACCAAGAAGCAGAAGCCACCGGTTAACAATGCTCTTGGAACCAGAAACAGTTTCGATTCTGACGACATGTTTGGTGACGATGGCAACCTTTTCTCCTCTTCCAAAGACGACGATGACAATGACATTGACAAGTGGCTTCAACAGAACATTGATCAGCTTCAACAACAGCACGTGGAAACAGACGCTTTCCTTGGGGGCCAGAACGATGATACCATCATGAACGATGAAACCGGTCACAAGAAGAGAGGAGTGGGTGAGATGGCAGCTAAGTCCAAGAAGCAGGGGCTGCTTCGATTTGTGCCCGTGCCAAAGCAGGACAACAAGGGCGGAGACTACTAGTTTGCATTACTAAGATTAATCATCGATCGTTTACATGTCGCCCACATAAATATTCCATAGTGGGCTTCCATGCTCCATCTGGTACTGGCAAATGACAACAATAGCAGCAACGCAGAGCTGGAGTTTGGCTTGGCCATGGCGATGGATGTGGTCCATAGCTTTGAAACTCTTTAGCATGCTGTTGAAGTACTCATGGCGTTTCAAAGCTCTCGATATGAACCGACGAACACTTGCAGAGTCATGAGCGTTTGGAGTGCTCAGCACATCGCGATCACCCGTGTATCCACCGTCAGCAATTGCTTTCTTTTTGAATTCGTGCAACTTGTCGCGTAGGCCACCGTTGGCTCGAAACATCACTCGGTCAGGGTTTTATCAGCCGGCAAAATTTGTAGCACCTGACTGCGAACAAGGGACAGAACAATCTCAGTATTGTATCCGGCTGAATGGTGCTTAAAATCGAACATACCGGGGTCCTTCGCAAATTCTGGATGGGCAACTTCCCAAGCTGCATTCATAGTAGCATCAATAGAGCAGATACAGATGTCATCTCCATGGATGTGATCTTCCGGCCAATAAACTTTGGAGGCAAGGAGACAGGCTACTTTCTCAACGAAATACCAAACCCACTCTCGCTGTGTTGCCACCCGCTGTTGATATGTGCAATTCCGCTCAGTTTCAGTGGGATAGCGCTTCAGGAAATGCAATGCCATGAAGTAATACTTCAGCTTGAGCTTCTTCTCTGGCACTCTTGCCTCATCAATCGATGTTGTCTGCAAATCTTCCCAGATTTGAGCAGCCACAATAGGGATGGGACCGTAGCGATCCTTGAAGGTCTGAACCTTCGACTTAATACCCCATTTTGTCAATCGCTTCTCTTTGAATCCAGCAAGTGCCAGTTCCTCAGCAAGCATCTCGTCTGGTGTCTTGATTGAGTACACTACATACCCATCATCATCAAAGTCATCTGCTATATTGTCTTTGTACTGTTGCTGCTGTTGTTGTTATGTTGTTGTCGTGGTCGATCGGTCGCTCCTGTGCTGTTACGTCGTTACCAACGTCGTGCTGTCGCACCTCCAAGGGGAAGTTCAAAATAAGAGGATGTTGAAGGCTTAAGAGGATGTTTCGAAGGCTTTGGAGGATGTTTTAAGAGGATGTTTATTTAAGAGGATGTTTAAGAGGATGTTTAAAATTTAAGAGGATGTTTTAAAACGGTCGTCAGTCGTGGGAATTTGAAGTCATTTTAAATCCTGAGCGAAAACCGTCGGACGGTCCAGCACCTCAACCTTTCGGTACTAGTAAATTGAATCGTACAATGCGTTACTTGCAACAGAAAATTAACGGTTACTCTGACCGTAACAGCCGCTCACACCTGAGGACAATTCATCTATTGATTACTTACACCGTACTAATACCGATACCTGGTACGCTGTACCCAATCATTGAATGGTTTTATTGGAGGTGGCAGTAAAGGTCATCGAGGCCACCATAGGCGTAGGTCATAGGTCAGGTCTACGCCTTGACCGCCCCTACCGGAAAGTTGAAAAAAGGCTCCCTGGGATTTCGAGACCCCGTGGCCAGGGGATCCCTAAGTAATTAATTTAGCCCTAAGTACCATAGTCATAGCAAGGCGAACCCTCCAGATTACCAACACGCTGAAATGAGGCGCCATCGAATACCGGATCTGGTATGGCCGGCTTGCCAGGTTGTCAGCGGCAAGCAGCGAACCAACCTCCCACCATTCTTGGAGCATTCCTCAATCGTGGGTGAGCTTAAATCCAAAACGCCCTATTTTACCGGCAGATTTAGGGGCAGATTACCTTAGGGGCGGGTTTGGAAAACGCCCCTATTTTTTAGGGGCGGTTTCTGGAATCTGCCCCTAAAATAGGGGCGTTTTGCTGATTTAGGGGCGGGTTTGGAATCTGCCCCTAAATGGAAACGGGACTGAATGGTAAATTCATTGAAAACGCCCCTATTTTAGGGGTGGGTTTGGAAAACGCCCCTATTTTTTAGGGGCGGTTTCTGGAATCTGCCCCTAAAATAGGGGCGTTTTTGCCATTTAGGGGCGGGTTTGGAATCTGCCCCTATTGGTTGTGAGATTTAGGGGCGGATTCCCGAAAACGCCCCTATTTTAGAGGCAGATTTAAGACACTTGCAGGACTGAGGAACGCTCCTGTATCGTTTCCTTGCGAAGCAGTGCATGCATTCCAAAGCAATGCGACAAGCCCATGATTATAAGAAGCAAAATGTCAACATTTAATGAGACAAGCGCTGGTGCAGAAAGTGGGGGGCTCTTGATGATGGAAGAGAGCCAGGTTTCGCAGGGAGACTTGTTATTACAAGACGCTGACTTTCCTGATGGCTACGTTCACATGGCTCACCCCGACGACTACAAGCCTATCGACACCCCGTTACCAAAAACGTGCCTGTTGCACCAGAAGATTGGGCACTGGCGACTCATCTTGCGCATTTCTTTCCTCTTGGCGAATGGGAAGTATCTTCCCATAAGCTTTATATGTGATACTGGTGAACCATACGATTTTTACTTTTCCGAACTTGCTGTTGAAAAGCTCACGGCTGGTGGGCGTGTGAAAGAAGATGACATTGGAAATGCCTATCTCGACAATATTGTTGGACGGAAGGCTGCTGTCCGTGAAACGCCTTACACCCACAAACCTGGAAACATACTGGGGCTAAGAATGATGCTGAAATTAGGATGCAAGTTGACCGAGAGCGGATTTGAATTCACTGAATCCTTTGAGTACTTTTAAATTCTGCTCTGGTCAGGAGTTTTCGCCAAATTGGAACATAAATTTGAGTGGTTATGAAGCTTCAGTACAAGAATCGCCGGGAATTTGTTGCTGAAGCCAATGCCTTGCAAACAAGCGGAGCTGAAAGAGGTTCTTGCCATGCTTCTGTTCAACGAGGGCTGTCCTGGGTACCGTAGCTAGACAAACTTCGCACTAGATAGCAGAAGGGGAATATTTTGCTAGAGTCATAATAAGGAATGGTGGTATCCCATAACGTTTTGCTTAGAACAACTTGATCGACGAATCGAATCCGAAAAGGAACCGATACGACGGCACCGTACGCTCAATCATCAGTCTGCGAGCCGACGACGTTTCGGCATTTGCTCACGCTGCGATGACTATGGTTGCAAACAACTAACTATTCGTCGACTGCCCGTTATGGTACACTACTACAGAAACTGTTTTTCTGGTTTGGGCGGAGGAACTCCAGTTCGCAGTGGTGGCCAGCTCGTTTGTTCGTACGTACGGGCTGCCCTTACAGGCAACACGGGAGCAAGCAGCAAGTTGAGGTTGCAGCCCACTGTGAGTGGATGCCGTCGTTGTTTTGTTTTGATTTGGCGCCATTGTGTCGACGCCCACCGGTATGGTACACCCGTGTTACTGTATGTTGCACACATCCAGTTTGGAGTCACTCATGCGTGGCAAGCATGGACTGTATCTGATGCTGCCTGATGCTCTCTGCCTCGGTGAGGGTATTTTGTTGTTGTTGTGTACTAGCTACCGTATTGCTTCCTTCCTTCATTCCTCTGTTACGGTACCACCAGCGGTTGTAGGAGATATTCCCGTGGCACCGATTGGCGGACGGCCATTCGCAAGACAAACCCGGGTCCACAATTGCGAATGGTAGCATCTTGAACAACAAGCACACTGGACACCCTGCGAAATGCTTTGTGACAGGGCAATCCGGCAAAAAGACTTTGGACCGGTTTGAGGGCATTGCCAATGAGGCGGGACGATATCTTGTCCTTATTATTAGTGCCAGCAGCACGGTCATGATGAGATTGTTGTGTGGTAGTGGGCGCGGTATTCTCATCATCGTCGTCATGGTCGTCTTGCATCAGGCTGGTGAGAATGGTGGTCCCGTGCAAGACTTGACACACTGGACAGCACGGGGCAGTAAAGTGGACGACGGGGGCGGGATATCGTAGTGTCTTGCAACTGTTGTCATCACAACATCGTCGAGGATACGTTCGTTCCAGGTAGAGACAGTACTGTTCGAGGACATCCGCTCGATTGTGACACGGATTGGATGGGGCTCCATAAAAGTATCGATCCACATCTCCAAACAGTGCCACGTTGTCCAATGCCGCTCGTCCCATCATGACTCCTCGCAGATTGGATGGTGCCACGGGGAGTGGTGCGGTCAAAGCGTCTTCCTGACCTGTCGTGTCATGATGACTGCATGTGTTGGTGTATCCATACGCCAACTCCTTGGCTTGCTCTAGTGTGGCAATCCCTCCATTGAGCCAAAACTGACAGTTGGGAAATTGCTGACAGAGTCGAAAGACTCGTTGGTAATTGAGTGGTGGTTTGGTTCGATTCTGACGGGCATTCAAGCCTTGCAAGTAGACTTTGCGGGCATGAAGAATAAAACGTGTACAACCACCCCGTTCTACCAACAGTCCAATCAAGTTGGCCACAAACTCCCAATCATCTTGGTCGTCCACTCCAATTCTCATCTTGATGGATACATCAAGTCCTTCAAGATGATGAGCAAGAGCAGCAGATTGCATGGCCGCCACAATATCGGCCATTCGAGTCGGTGATTTCATCAAGGCGGCTCCAAATTGATTCTTTTCCGCAACCGTCGAAGAAGGACATTCACAGTTCAAATTGATTTCTTTAATATACAGATAGTAGTGCTCGTGTAGTAATATCACACATTGCGCCGCACGTTCTGGGGAATTGCTGCCAATTTGCACAATGACATTTCGATTATTATTGTTGTCGCTATCCTGCTGAAGTAACAACAAGTCGTCTCGTTTGGCAGCACTGGTATGCAAGAGCGTATTGTCGGCCAGCATTTCCGTCCACAGAACAAGACGCCCACTCAAAATCCGCAACAAGGCTCGAAACTCCCGGTTCGAGTAATTCACCATGGGAGCCACGTGGAGTTCTTTAGTAGAGTGACATGATCTTGTACCGTCATCACTGGAGTGGTCAAATAGTATTGTCATTGTCATTGTCTTCTTCTTCTTCTTGTGTCATGGCTGGTCTCTCCTCATGTTGGCTCTTTCTTTTGCGGATGCTTGGCTGTCCGCCTTTCGGTGGAAAGTAGATAATAAGCCAGTGAAAGCTGCCAAAAACTCGTTCCGGTCTTTGTTTCTCCTTTGAAAGGACTGGAAATCAGGGTTCGCGAACCTGATAATAGATTTGAGGAAAAGGTTACATGTACTAAGGAGTATCGGGAAATGAGACATTTGATGTCAAATTGACATTTTGATGTCAATATTGTCAATTGATGGTTTCTGACATGTTGACAGGACTCAAAATTGTCAATTGGTCAATGTTGACCAGTTTTGATCAATTTGATCAATTGCTGTCAACAAGAATCAATTTGTCAATGTTGATATCAAAAAATCAACTTGATCAACATTGATCAATTTTGACTCTGATTGACTCAAAAAAATCCTCAATTGGATGTTGACAGTTTTCTTTGAATCAATTTTGATCTTTTGACATTAGTCATTGATACAATTACCATTTTAATTTAAAATTTACTTTCTCCATTACTTACTCTACAACATCTTTACTCTATTTGCTCTATCATGATGATGGTTACTTGTACCTCTTTATGGCGGCTACTCCTTTCGTCGACGGCTCCACCATGACTGGATACTCTTGTTTGGTTAGAGCGCGGCTTCTTCCGATGGACGAATCGATGACACCATAGAGCTGGAGGCAGCGACCATGACGCCACCTCTTCCACGGAGCCTTCCGGCACGGTATTGTTAGCATCGGTTACTGGCCACTATCTTCGGTCAGCATCAATGGGTCGATTCGACTACGACTACGACTACGACTACGACTACGACTACGACTGCGACTGCGACTGCGACTACGACTACGACTACGACTACGACTACGACTCCTCTTCCCAACCTCTTTCACGGAGCGTCCATGGCGCTGATACCACGGAGCGATCATTCTGTGCAACCGGCGAGTTAATCCATCGGACGCGACGACGCGACCGAATGACTTCCACGACGGGCTGTCAATGGACTCTTCTGTTCGACCACATGATTCGATACAGAATAACAAACAAACGAATGAAAGAGATGGGGGAGGATTCATTTGTTTTGAACTGGATGAGGTCGTACGTCCTACAATCTGGGGCTGCTTCCAGCGATTGATCGCAATGGAGGATTCGATTGCTACTACTAGTACTATTAACCCCACTACCATAGTGCAATTTTGCAAGTATTACATGCTAGCATGCTAGCTAGCATTGTCTATTCCAAGCTCTATCTACCATTTGATTGAACCAGCAACGAGAGCATGCATGTTAACATGCTGTTGATCAAATCAAAATGTTGATCAATTTTGATCAACATTGATCAATGTTGAGTCAAAAATATCATCAAAAAGTCAAAAAAGGATTTGACAGTGTTGATTGATGCTGATTGATGTCAATTTTGTTGATTTGCGTCAAATTGTCAATTTTGATTTTGACAGGTGTTGATGGCTCTTGAACGGTTTTGATTGTCAAAAAATCAAACTTGTCAAAACCAATCAAAATTGAGTCTTGCTTCCTTGATTGACATCAAAATGTCAATTTGACATCAAATGCCTCATTTCCCCATACTCCTAACCTATACACTAACCTGGACCATTCGACGGTTTTTGCTCAGGATTTAAAACTGACTTCAAACTTCCACGACTGATGACCCTTTTGAAACAATCCCTTAAACAATCCCTTACATCATCAACTATCCCTTAAACTATCCCTTAAATAAACAATCCCTTAACAACAATCTTTTAAGCCTTCCAAACAATCCCTTAAGCCAACAATCCCTAAAAAACCCTTATTCGCCATGAATACTATTAGTACGATTAGTACCTTTGCTCTGTCAAGATGATGTTACTCTCTCCTCTTTATAGCGGCTACTCCTTTTGAAGAAGGCTCCACCATGACAGGCTCCTCTTGGTTGACTAGCGGCAGCGGCAGCCGTTCGACGATCGGTCATTCCGTTCGACCCATCGATTGGGTTGGCCGATGATTTCTTTCCATGATGCCTCCTCTTCCATGCGACGGCTGCAACAAGCAGCTACTACTCTACTAGTAGTATGCCGAGTTCGATCTAGATTAGCTGGAGCAAATTAGGTTGAACAGATCATGGTCATGGATGTCTGGTCGATCATCCACAAACAATCCCTTAAACAATCCCTTAACAGGATCAAACAATCCCTTAAATAAACAATCCCTTAGAAACAATCTCTTAAAGCTTCAACAATCCCTTAAACAATCCCTTAACAAAACAATCCCCTATTTTGTAGCTGGTTTTGAGTCAGTCGTGATAATTTTTAAAGTTTGAAGTGGAAACTGTCGGATTGTCCTGATGCAATCTACCAGGTTAGTGTATAGGTTAGGGTTACTTTGCAGGTAGGTTACTGTAGGTTACCTGCAAAGTAACCTATTACTTTATATAAGGTGTTTTGCCTTGTTAGTTAGCTAGATGATAGTTGATAGGGTGGTTAGGTATCAGAGCAGATAGTTACCCCTGACGACTGAAGTTGTATAACTTCGGTCGTAGTGCCACCCAATGGTTAGTTAACTGCAGAATGTGAGGGTGGCTAGGTAACAGAGATAGTTACCCTTGACAACTGCAGATTGAGAGGGTGATACAGAGATAGTTACCTTTGATAACTGGAAGGTGTGGGTCTTCAGTGGCAGTGACCACAAGGGTTAATCTACTGCGGAATGAGGAAAATAGCCCGAAAAGTAATATGAGACCTGTTAATAAGTAACCGGTGAGCACGAACCTGATAGAAAAAAGATATCAGGTTAGCGTACGGGTTACTAACCTGATAGAAAAAAGATATCAGGTTAGTGTAAAGGTTACTTTCAGGTTCCGGTTACCGATTCTTTTGGAAGTAACCGATCGGTAACCTAATATATCAGGTTAGCGAACCCTGCTGGAATTCACGATTTTATGAACCAAATTTACGTAAAATCAAACCGAAAACAACCAAAAATAGATAGTCCAACAGGAATTTTAAATTGTGATTTCCGCCCCTTCCTTCTGGCGTTTTATGCTCGGCCAAAGCAGCCTCCTTCGGACAAAAATATTCACGCTGCCCAAGAAAGGCATTTGCTCCGTTATGCAATATATAGAACTACCCTAATGTAGAATTGGTCACCTCAACACATCCATCTGCTCCATCTGCTCCAACCAAAACGTCAACGGTGATTTCAGAGAAGGCCTTCCCAGCTACCAAAGAATACAACACTGTTTCGTTGCTGGCTGTCAGAGAGGTCCATCCAGAGAACATACCATTGCCCCATCTGTCTGATACAATCAATCTGTAGCTGTTGTTGGGGCCGACTGAGAAGAGTGAGGCGTATAGATAATCCTCAATACCCAGTGGACCACCTGATTCCTGAGTGTCCCAAATATCAGTTGCATTGGTTTCCTGCTTCCAAACCCATGATATGTCCGCTGGCCAATTATCACTTTGGATATTGAGCATTGTGCATGCTTGGCAATCAGATGGCAACACGTCAACAGCTGTGGCTACTGGAATCAGCTAGATGCCGATTATGGATGAATGCAGCCAAAAGTACTGCAAATCTGTGCGTAACGCAACACCTTTTAAAAAAACAGTTAGATGCAGATTATAGATGAATGCAGTACTTTAGATGTAGATCATAGATAAATGCAGCAGAAAATACTGCAAACTTGTGTGCATAGAGAGTGCAACATGAAATCATGATGCAGTAGAACTGGTGACATCAAATGAACTGTCGGCTCTGACTGTGATGATGCCGATGGTGATTTCTCTGAAATCACTGTCACTGTCACTGGTTTAAAAAAAAATCATCTGTGCTGACATAGGAGTACAATACCGTCTTGTTGTTTTCTGCTGTCAAAGGTATCCATCCATGGACATAGAAACCATCGCCATAAATATCAGATACAACCACTCTGTAGCTGTTGTTGGGGCTGACTGAGAAGAGCGAGGAGTAAAGATGGAGATGAGATGCCAGTGGACCACCTGACTTTACAGTGTCCCAAACACCTGTCCCATTCGTTTCTTGCCGCCAAGTCTATGCTGTTTCTTGTGGGTCTTTATCGGTATAGATATTGAGCATGACATCTGCACTTGTGGTTGGAAACCATCCAGGCCAATCTGGTGGGGCTTCTTTGAGGTCAGCACAGGTAGAAATGGGGGAGTTTCATTTTGAAACAATCACACCATAAAAAGAACATAGATGCTCTGGTATAGTTCCTGAGAACTGATTCCCATATAGTCACAATGGTGCCATAGATGCATCCAGCTGGCTGGGCAGTGTTCCTGTCAGGTGATTATTCTGAAGAGCCAGGGATGTCAGCCAATGATGTCATCATGCCAATTTCAGTTGGGATCTAGCCAGATAGCTGATTTTCTGACAGAGCCGAAGATGTCAAAGATGTCATCACGCCAATATCAGTTGGGATTCTGGCAGTGAACTGATTTTCTGATAGGTAGAGCTGTGTTTTAAAATGAAGTGAAGTCAGGAAGCTCAGAAGGCAGTGGACCAATCAACTCATTATTTTCAAGCCAAAGCCTCCGCAATGAGGTCAGGAGCCCAAGCTCCGAAGGAACTGGACCGGTCAACTGATTCTGAGAAAGCAAAAGCCAATCTAATGAGGGCAAGCTTCCCAGAACACTGCGGCATCTCAGGAATGACCAGCCCTTGTTCGACCACATTGTCAAACTGAATCCAGATTGGGACGAGGACACCCCGGCACTGGTTGATTGGACAGCCCATGGTCGTGCTGTCAACCGACATGAGATCCACAAAAACCAACAATTGTGAAGTTCCTATTTCAATTGTTGCCAGTTGGGAAACGGATACACCGCGATGACCCCAAGTATGATCACCACTGTCCCCGTTGCGGCGGTGATCACGAGACTGAGACCCATGTTTACAGATGCCCGCATGTTGACGTGGAACTGTGGCGAGGGACCATGCAACGAGCGATCAGTACAAAGTTGCGCAAGGACTCAACAGACCCCTTCCTCCTGGAAATTGTTCTGGATAGGCTTCAATACCACTTTGAAGACCGGTTCCTACACCTGTGGCATTACCCGGAGCAGTAGAGGGATCTCGTTGACACTCAAAATCTCATTGGTTGGGGTAACTTCCTGAGAGGACGTTTGTCCAAGCACTGGGTCACGCACCAAGATGCCTATTTGCACCGGGTCGGCTCCAAGGAGACCACCAAGACCGGGCAGCTTTGGGTCACCAACCTGGCCTCTGTTCTGATCCAGCAGTGGTGGAATCTCTGGGAAGACCGCAATGCCGCCAGGCACGGCAGGGATCAGGAACAGAAATGGCGCAAGAAACACGAACAGCTCCAACAAGAGGTCGAGCTCCTGTATGAAAAAGCGGACCTGCTCCCAGAGCATCTTCTTGATACCATCTTCAAACGACCCCTGGAGGCACAGATGGCCAAAGGGCCGGGAGATATCAAAGCATGGCTGGCCAATTGTCTTCCAGTTGTGGACAAAGCAATGAGGGACGAGCATGCACGTGAGCAGCCTTCCCAATCAGGGTAACTATGCGCCGGAGTGGGACTCCCATAGCAATAGCGGGCGATTTAGCCTAGCGTAGATAGTTAGTCGTACAGCACCCTCCGGAGTTTTGTTCAATTTCTCCGGTGGGGGGCTTACACTAGGCCCATCCTAAGTGGGTGCCCTCGTGCGCCTGAGGAATATGGGTTCGTCACGGCACCGTTCAGCGGATCGTCTGACGAGGTGTAGCCTTTAAAATAAAATTTCGTTTTATTTTTTTATTTTTTTAAGTTCATATTAGTTAATGCATGTATTAGTACGCAGGCCTTGTAATTTTCTAGACAATTGCGACGGTAGCTACGGTACAAGGGTCCAGGAGAAATTCAAAGAGTACAACCTGTCTGTGTCACCCCTAGCCCACTTCTGGACCAACGCCCAGACCAACTCGGAACGCGGACCACTACCGGTAGTAGAGCTGGACCTAAGCTAGATCTACCGCAATCGAGGCCGACCACCAGGATTTGGCACCTTAAAAGAATTGTGTCCTCAAAGCACCCCTCCATAGTTAGATGTTGATGCTGTTTTCTGGCTGCTAAAGATGACTGCAGCATAATTAAAAAAATGCATCTAGCTAGTTGCTCAACTATAGAAAAATGTAACATATAGTCACTTGATT